CCACTCAACTGCGACTCAGGTGAGTGAGACACATCAGGTCAATCAAGTCCACCAAGTCGCTTCCAGTGGGAATTTTCTCGTGTCTCTGTGTCGCGCCATCATCACTCTCCTCTGCCACCCCGAGGCCGACAGCCCACTCAACTGCGACTCAGGTGAGTGAGACACATCAGGTCAATCAAGTCCACCAAGTCGCTTCCAGTGGGAATTTTCTCGTGTCTCTGTGTCGCGCCATCATCACTCTCCTCTGCCACCCCGAGGCCGACAGCCCACTCAACTGCGACTCAGGTGACTGAGACACATCAGGTCAATCAAGTCCACCAAGTCGCTTCCAGTGGGAATTTTCTCGTGTCTCTGTGTCGCGCCATCATCACTCTCCTCTGCCACCCCGAGGCCGACAGCCCACTCAACTGCGACTCAGGTGAGTGAGACACATCAGGTCAATCAAGTCCACCAAGTCGCTTCCAGTGGGAATTTTCTCGTGTCTCTGTGTCGCGCCATCATCACTCTCCTCTGCCACCCCGAGGCCGACAGCCCACTCAACTGCGACTCAGGTGACTGAGACACATCAGGTCAATCAAGTCCACCAAGTCGCTTCCAGTGGGAATTTTCTCGTGTCTCTGTGTCGCGCCATCATCACTCTCCTCTGCCACCCCGAGGCCGACAGCCCACTCAACTGCGACTCAGGTGACTGAGACACATCAGGTCAATCAAGTCCACCAAGTCGCTTCCAGTGGGGATTTTCTCGTGTCTCTGTGTCGCGCCATCATCACTCTCCTCTGCCACCCCGAGGCCGACAGCCCACTCAACTGCGACTCAGGTGAGTGAGACACATCAGGTCAATCAAGTCCACCAAGTCGCTTCCAGTGGGAATTTTCTCGTGTCTCTGTGTCGCGCCATCATCACTCTCCTCTGCCACCCCGAGGCCGACAGCCCACTCAACTGCGACTCAGGTGAGTGAGACACATCAGGTCAATCAAGTCCACCAAGTCGCTTCCAGTGGGAATTTTCTCGTGTCTCTGTGTCGCGCCATCATCACTCTCCTCTGCCACCCCGAGGCCGACAGCCCACTCAACTGCGACTCAGGTGAGTGAGACACATCAGGTCAATCAAGTCCACCAAGTCGCTTCCAGTGGGAATTTTCTCGTGTCTCTGTGTCGCGCCATCATCACTCTCCTCTGCCACCCCGAGGCCGACAGCCCACTCAACTGCGACTCAGGTGACTGAGACACATCAGGTCAATCAAGTCCACCAAGTCGCTTCCAGTGGGATTTTTCTCGTGTCTCTGTGTCGCGCCATCATCACTCTCCTCTGCCACCCCGAGGCCGACAGCCCACTCAACTGCGACTCAGGTGACTGACATTCTAGCCTGGGCTTGGTGTCTAGTCCAACGAGTCACGTTCACAATGAACCCGTCACGTCCATGAGTCTTATCTCATGTCTCTCTCTCTCTCCCCCCCCTTGTGTACATACCCCCTCTCGTGTAAATACCCCCTCTCACGTACGTAACCCCTCTCGTGTGTTCCCTCCATGCGTCCCCACCCCGTTCCCCTGCAGGCAATCTGATTCGAGCAGGTGACAACCGGGGCTATTGCTCCATGGCTCGCATGTACACTAAACTCCACGCAATGCCGCCCACTGCCAGATGAGGTCAATTTCGCTCACATGTACACTAAACTCCACACCATGCTGCCCGCAATCGGATGAATGCTGAAGGTGTTGGGAGTTTTCTGAGGCTCACTTGTACACTAAATTCCACGCCACACCGCCCGCAGCAAGGAAGCCTTGGAAGGCGTCAGGTGTTTTGCATGGGCATATATAGGCTAAATTTTTATCTATAATATGACGCGTGCATCATGATGGCACTTGAGGCACCAATTTCGCTGCAGCTAGCTAGAATGTGAATCCGTGTCTGCTAAGCAAGCTGTGAGGTAGGTGTCAGGTGGCCACGTGTCGTTTAACCAGATGGCATTTACCCACGTGTCATAGGTGTCATTTGACCAGGTGTCACTTGGAGAGTTGCCGTTCCAGATCTTCCAGAGATATTGGTGCGTGTAGCTGTGTGGGAAAGGGTGGTGATGGGGAGTGGATATGGGAAAGAAAAGGGGATGGAGAATAGAGTGCATGGAATATAGCACGGCGGCCTGTGGCATGGATGTATGGTTGCATGGTAGCGTGGATAACATGGTGGCATGAAGGCACCCTGGCATGGCATGGGTAGGATCATGATGTGGCATGCTAACTTAACATGCCTGCCTTGACAGGCTGCAAAGCAAAATTCAGGGTCTTCACAACCCCAACAGCTGATACCTCCCTGACAGCACTATCTCCTAAACAACCCTCCGTCACATCCCCTTACCTCCTTGGCGATTCTCAGCCAATCACAGGCTCTTGCAGGCCCATCACCAGCCTTGGGAACTCCGACATGGTTCCAATAGGCGAAAGAGGAGAATCGCCCCACAGTCCGCCACTGTGCTGCATGGGGAAAACCAGCTGTCACCTCCGTTCCTTCCTCCTCTGCCTCTGCCCTCCCATCTGCCTCTGATTCTCCTACCCCCTGCCCTCTTTCCTCGCTGCTGGTCCTTTCCGTTTCCTGTCTCGTCCTCGCAACGTCCGTGGCTTGCCGTTTAGAGGGAGGTTCAACAACACCTGCTGCTGCTGCTTCTGTTCCTCCCTTCTCCATTTTCTCCAATACGAGGCCTGGAGAGCAGAGAGGAGATAAGAAGGACTGCAGGGGACCTTGAGAATTAGGATTTCATTAGCAGGCTGATGTTGAAGTTGGAATATTCAAGGGGAAGCGTATGAAAGAAAGGGAAACGCAATCGCCAGACTTTCATCGCATCACCTGTATAGCCGTCAGGAAGGGTGAGGCGCCTTCCCAAAAGCCTCCTGCCTCTAAACGCGGCTTCCAACGGTACTGTGCCATCCGTCATAGTCACATCTGTGAAGATGCCAGCAAGGTCGGAGGGGATGGTCAGAATGTTGAGCTATAGCGAATCGTGTGAAACTTCGAATAAAGCCACCAGAACAAAGTGGAGCCGCCGCTAAAAAATCAAGGTAAGAATGTCCCACCCTTGGCCTCGATCGGACGGAAAAAACGCGACACGGCAGCTGGTCCGTTGTGCTCAATGCAGCAGGGCAGAAGATGCACGTCAACGCCAACTTCTGGCTCAGAAACTGACGTCTGACAGTCTCGAGGCTGAGAGGTGCCGCTGATCACCCTAATTTCGTCGGTTATGTCCATCGCTGGCGGAAAGTAGACGAACGAAGCGGAGCGCCAACACAGTGCGCTTATGGTCTGATCGATAATGAGTTGCGACTTGGGAAGGAGATGAGTACGTGCGGATCCCAAGGAAGTGGAAGTTGTGGGATTTCCCTGACTGCACTGGCATCTCGGACAGGTGGGTAACCAGATAACGTGCGCGAACTCTCACGGACGCTTGTGGCAAAAGTTCCTGCTATTTTTAGCTATTCGTTAAATACAGGTGGTTACGAAGACCTGGTTTCACTACTGAATGTGGTGAAGCTTTTAGCGGAGTATGTCAATGTTGTCATCTCTCCCTGAGAAATTTTGCTGTTGTCCGTCAAACGTCGCTGCAGAACAGAACCTTCGCTGTATGGAGAGTGATGATTGGTTATGAACCACGTCACAGATGGAACGCGGGAGGTGAGGATCTTTTGCTGATTTGGCGAGGAGGGCACGTCAAATGCTTTTAGATGATCCTCCAAATAAAACCAACTTTCAGCCTGAGGTACTGTCTGTATCCTCTCAAGCCAAGCCAAGCCCTGAAGCAGGCTAAAGAACAGTGTTTTCGGGCATCGGAATGTTGAAGCTGTCATTTACTGACTAGCAAAATGTGAATCTATTCTTAACCTTGAAACTACAGTACTGCTGCTGTAACGAATAAGTTCCGGTGGAGAAGCGAAAGCACAAGCTGAATGATGGAAGCAAGTTGGCTGATGTTACTATATGTGTTATTTTATTTGAGATTTGTGGGTGCTTCGAGAAAGTATTACATGTGTGGAAGCACCTTCCGGAAAGTCACTGTAGCTGTCCATCTGAGCGCACGAACGGTACACAGTGGATGAAACCAGGTAGAGTAACAACTTTACAAGCCTGGATGTAATTCGTGTAGATCCAGTCCAGATGTCTTTCACGCTGCATTTGCGGGCGTGGTGGCCAATGAACTGGCGAACGCGGGCATCCCGTTCGAACACAATGAAACGCGTCATGAGCAATGCAATAATAAGGATACGATTGTACGATGCCTGACTCGATCTCCCGCTGCCTTGTGAACAAATATGGACTGTAGGATCTCCATCGTGTCGCCATATCGCTTCAGTTTCATCGCTTGCCACATAAGATCCAGCGCTGTGCTGACCCACGTGGCAGGACTCATCAACGTGGGAAAATCCTCGCACATGGGACCCTCGTGCGCGTCCCAGGTCGAGCCGCCGAATGCTGATCCAATTCCTCACCAAATTTCGAATCTCACATTCTTGGTAGGTTTAGGGGCGGACGCGGGCAGAGCACGGCCGCTAGGGGAAAGTCGCGTTTGTTGGTTGGGGACAGGCTTGCACGCAGCCAAAGAAACCGACAACATGTAGGACGGGAGCCATTGCCAGCTGATTTGACCTCAGCGTCGCCGAAGAGTCCTCATGAGAATCCTTCGCTTCTTCAACATCATGCAGTCGACGCGTCCTCTAGCTCGTCCCCTCGTTGGGTTCCACGGCGCTGCTTTGTGTTCTTATACTACAGGGACGGAATAATTCTTCATCATCGACAGGCCTTGCATCCACTTCCTTGTCATCTACTTCGGTCTTTTGTCCACTCAGACCAGTTAATCGGTGTCTTATAATAGTTTTCCTTCCCTCGAATCTATAAAAAACGCTTGGGTTAAACCACCTCGACGTAGAAATATCAGATAGGTCGAATCGTCACCACATAATCCTCGAGGGATTCTTCCACAGTCTGTCAGTCTGCGAAATCCGTGGGTCCACCTATGGAGGGTACGGATCCTGCGTTCTTGCTACCGCACATTCAGAACCGGGGAGGTCCGCAAAACGCGCTTTACAGGTTCCGCGGAGTGCGCCAGCGCACGTGGGGGCGGTGGGTGGCGGAAATCCGCGACCCGGAGCGCAAGGTGCGCCAGTGGCTGGGCTCGTTCGCGAAGGCGGAGGAGGCCGCGCGCGCGTACGACGAGGCGGCGCTGAAGCTTTACGGACCCGACGCGCACCTCAACTTCCCCCCGCCGCGGGAAAGCAATCCCGCGAATCGCGCGCAGCGTCACGCCGCGGCGGAGCCGGATCTGGACGTCGCTCGGGAGAGTTTCGACAGAGAAATTACCAAGGCTCGTCTTTCAGGGTTGACTGGATCTGACGGTTTCGCAAGCGTCATTCCAGGGTTGACGGCGACAGGGTTGATCGGATTGACTGGATTGACTGGATTGACTGGATTAGCAGGCCTAAACGGGTTTCAGAACCACGGAAGGTCACCAGGGTTGACCGGATTGACTGGATTGACTGAATTAGAAGGCCTAAACGGGTTTCAGAGCCACGGAGCGTCACCTCATTGTGCCGTATCGGACAGCACATGGCGCCAGTTATCACCGGGGGCGCGGACAGCGCTGGCGCGCATCAGCCAAGGCAATCAATTCGGTCACCAATACGGTGTTGGCGCTGCTACTAGCAGTGATGGTGGTGGCGCGGCCATTAACGGCGTCAGCCACGGTGGCGGAGCTCGGGTTAGTTCTGAGGGCGGTGTGATTCAACTGCCGGTTCAAGGAGCGGCGGGTCACTTAATCCATCCACTCGGGACGACAATGGCCATGGCCATGGCTCCTCGCTCAGCCAGCGTGCCGAGCGGCAGCGCGACGAGCTTCACGGAACCCGCGAGTCCCAGGCGAGTGGGCGTGGAGCTCCCGTTAGAGAAGGCCCACAGCCTCGACGCGCTCCCCTCGTTCCAATCACAGTCGCCCAGCGTGGGATTCCAACGGGCGGTCACGGATCGTGGCGCGAGACTGGCTGGGGATGGTTCACAGCAAGAAGAGGTGAAGTGGCAGCGGTACCAGCGGAAGCGGAGAGCAGTGGCGGAGGAGCAGAGGGAGATGAGGGAGCTGGAGGACCTGTTGGATAAGTACAAGCGGCGGCAGCAGGTGCGGCAGCTGCTGTCCGAGGCTGATATCGTCCATCAGCGGGAGATGCTTCTGACAGGCCCGGAGGTGCAACCCGTGATGCAGCAGCAGCAGCAGCTAGCCCCGCAGCCTGGTCCTGGGGCCACTCGCGAAGGTGCAATCATCAGAAGTGCTGCTAACGCCAGGTTCTCTGGTAGAGCATCAGGTGACGGCCTTCCGGGGAACGAAAATGAGCTCCTAGCAAAGGGTTTGGTGAGCAGCAAAGACATCGCCAGGTTCATCCTGGACCAGAAGCTGTCATCGGGTGGTGTAGCGCCAAATGCAGGCCCTTCCACTGTCCCAACCACAGTTCCCGGAACTGCACCGATGGTGCACACGGATCGAACTGGTGTGTCAGATGAGTCGCCCCTTGTGTCACAGAAGTTTAGAGATGTGAGCAGGTTGCTGCAAGTGACAGACTGCCACCTGGCATCGGCGATTGCCACTGGTGGCTTAAACAGTGAAGGCCATGAAGCTGTGCGTGGCCATGGGTACAGAACTGGTGCTGGAGCACCAGGGGGGGATCTAGCTACAGGCTTTGCAGCTGACCAACCACAGGCTCGTCAGACCCCAGGGCTTCCAAGCATGAACGCTGCAGGACACACGCAGGATCTTCGAAGAGGTGCTGTTTCTTCGTTTATGGGTGAGCCGATGGTGGGAATTCGTAACAGTGTGAATGGTTTGCCATGCACAGGTCAAAGTAGAGGAGATAACATGATGGAGATTCCAGTAGATGGTGTTGGTTCTCTTGGGATTTCTCCCGAAATGGAGGCCATTTCAGGTCTCATTGGTGAAGAGGCTGCTCAGATTCTGCTCCAGGAGCTCCTGTGCAAAGGAGACATTGCAGTAGGCAATAGCCAGTGGGGCATTTGAGTAGAATAGGAATTATATATGAGTGGTGCTTACGTGGACCACAACATGTAGCTCACGTAAAATTGATTTGAATGGTATTATTAGTATTTTTTATAGGGAAAAGATCATACAGGGGCCGAACAGTGCCAGAGGGGTGATCGAACAGGGGCCGAGAGGCCCGGAACTTACCAAACCGCTTCGCGAGGAGGGATTAACAGAGGGGCTTCATTTATCGCACGTAATTACGTTACTAGTGGCATGTACCAGCTCGCATTTTCGCTCGCGTGTCGTTTAGCGAGCCAACTCTACCGGGAACTCTAGGGCAGCAAAAAAACTAAGACTCATAGGGAACCTGGATGCAATTTCGGGATGGATCAACCCTAAAAAAGGGGACCTTCCTGGTATTTAGGGTTGATCCCTCCCGAGTCGCATCCTTTTCCGAATGGGTAATATATTTTTTCTTGCGGTTTCCGATCGGGTAGGTGATAGGTATCACCCAGAATATATTATGCTGTTACGTACTCTCGATTTGACACGCCGAAGTCAATTCCAGAAGAAGGCGACGCGCGCGCTGTAGTAGACGGCAGTCAAAACCCTCCATAAATAATATGATCACAAAGTCTGGTTTTGTTTAGCAATTTTCTTGGACTCATGGTTCGGCTTGTTCGCCGAGTCGTTTGGTCAGCTCCGGGTTGAAATCCTGCGGTCGCGATTTTCCGGCCCTACTTTGATCACCCCTCTGGCACTGTTCGGCCCCTGTATGATCTTTTCCCTTTTTTATATGAGCTGCATTTTCCTGATTCGAAGTCCTACGTGGCAAAATCGTGTATTCTAGAAGGGCGAGACAGACGGTTCGCGAATTTCTCAAGCGTACTGTGTACCGACGTCTTGCTCTGTGTCAGATTTCGCGAATCTCAGGTCATGCTGGTGGTTCTTGTGCACTCGTCACCATATTCCATTGCCCAGTATGCTCTGACCAGAGCTCTGTAGCGCATATTACCGTCTAATACCGTGATGAAACTTACGTCGGAGCCAGATCCCTCAACTTTCGCAAATCTCTAGGGAAGAAACACTACATTGCTTGGAGGAGTTCCTCGATCGACGCTGTTTATTTCCAGATCCTCGTCATTCATCCGTTTTCATATTTTCCAGGTGAATCGTCGCGTCTCCTCCACCACCACTCACTCCCGATCACCTTTTGGCTTCGCCAGAACGTCCATTCCTCCTAAATCTCGTATCGATCTCGTCCAGTTTCGCAACACTCACCTCCATGGCAAAGTACGGCGAGGGCGACAACCGTTGGATCGTGCAGGATCGAGCGGACGGCGCGAACGTGCACAACTGGCACTGGGCGGAGAAGGACTGCATGGAATGGTCGCGGCGGCGCCTGGGGGAGCTGATTGGCGGGCTGACGGTGCTGGAAGGGGAAGGCGGGTGCTGGATCCGCACGGGAGCGATTGAAAAGGTGGATGGCGAGGCGTATGTGAACATTCGGAAGGGGAAGATCATTCCCGGGTGAGCTGAGCTTTCAGTCAGGTTTTTCTGGACTGGGGTGGTGGAGGCCTGATCAGCACAAGCACTGTCGAGCAGGTCGTTGATGAGGCTATGATGATGTTTGAGGCGCCTCATAACTTGTCTTCAGTTTCTGACCTTGGTCAGGTTTTGAAGGAAATCCTGAAAAATGCAGGCGTATTTCGTGATTGCTCTTTCGTGATTGCTCGAAATTTCCGTTGAATATCATGGCGCAGCATGCCCTCAGCTAGAACCGAGTTCCACCAGGAACCCTACTTTTTCCCTTCCCCATCCTTCCCTCTCCCTAACCCACTCCCCCTCCCGACTATTAGCTATGAGCCTGACGAACCCTATCTTTCAATTCTCCCGTCAGCTTCCCTCCTCTCACACCTCCTCCGCCAACCAGCGACTAGCCTAACAAACTCTACCTTTGCCTTTTCCCGTAATTCCCCGTCCCCATTAACCAATCAGCTACGAGCTTCACGTCCGTCTCGGCTGGGAGGGCGAGGTCAAGGACTCCGCCGACGCTCAGCCCGCCGCGTCCGTTAAAGGCTTCGTGGAACTGCCTTATATCGCGGACGAGAACCACGACGAGGATCCCGAGGTGAAGATTGCCCTGGCCACGGAATCCGCAGAAGGAAACGGTGGAGGGTCGGCAGCAGCCAATAGGCTGCGAGATGCGATGCTGGCGCGAGGCAAGCCGCTTATTCTGGAGAGAATCCGCACGTTCGTTAAAGACATCCAGGCTGGTGGTCCCGCCAGGGACGAGTTAGAAAAGGCTAAGGTAGTGAAACCAGCAGCGGCGGCGTCAACAGCAGCACCAGCAGCAGCGCCAGCAGCATCAGGAGCAGGAGCAGCAGCAGCAGCAGCGGCGGCAGGAGCAGGGTCTGCGCCTGCTGCTGCTAAAACCACCGCGAGCACAGCCCCAACCAGCAAGAGCAAGAAAGAGAGCAGCAGCAGCAGCGGAGCTGGGAAGAAGTCGATTGCCATCACCCAGAGGTTCCACTGCCGGCCGTCGGATCTGTACGAGACGCTGATGGATGAGAAGCGGTGGATGGCTTTCACTCAGTCCAAGGCGAAACTGTCGCGGGACATAGGGGGTACCTTTTCGTTGTTTGATGGGTCCGTGACAGGTGTCAACCAGCGGTTGGACGAGAACAAGCTGATTATGCAAAAGTGGCGGTTCAGCAGCTGGCCCGATGGGCATTACTCCACGGTGAGTGTGGGCAATGGTATACAGTATTGGGCAACAGGGGTGGGTGATGTGAGTGGTTAATAGGAGTGAGTGGTAAGAGTTGGCGAGAGTAGTAGATGGCAGTTATGTGGCAGTAGTGGGTGATATTAGTAGTGGGTGTTTGTAGTTATGGGTGCATATGGTAGTGGGTCATTACGTCACAACCTTCACACTATCTGTTTCCAGACTTTTGTGCACTGGATGCTCAATTGTTGCGTATGTCTGTGCTCTCCTCCTCTAATTGGTGCAGGTGTGCATAACCTTTGAGGAGCCTCAAGTGGGTGACACCATTCTGCGGCTCACACAAACCAACGTGCCTGAAGAGGACAGGTGAGTGCCACAGCGACCAACATTTTTTTAACTGAAATAAAAGAAGCACACTGACGATTTTTGTTATCACTGGTCATCGTTCTGTGGTTTTAGCTAATGACGATGATTTCATACGTTGCAGGTTTGGGAATGCCACGGTTTTTGAAACAACCGAACGTGGCTGGAGAGATCTCATTTTTGCTAGGATTCGTGCAGTTTTTGGTTTTGGGGCATAATATGAATTACTGAGTTTTTTAAGAAGTTATTTCTTGTAGTTTTTTATGTACGGGACAGACATTTGTTGTGCCCAGCTGTGCCACTTCTAGTGGCTAGTTCTGTAGCGCGGACGTAATCTGCAGCACCGGTTTCCACGATTCCCGTCAACACTTGACCGTCAATTCACAGGTGTTCAGTGAACACTGCTGAATTCAGTCAGGCGCATGTCAGTCAGGCAATCCCAAGCACCTACAGGCTGGGAGGCAAGCCTCGTGCACGAATATCCGCACCAGTCTCCTCGTCATTTCTAGAAGAATGCCAGATTCTGACCTCGGTAGTCAGCATTGAGGCAACCTCGAGGGGTCAATGCCTCGATGCTGGAATTTATAACCTCTGTCTGGAATTTACAAGCATTGGACTAGGATGGTAGCAATTTGGTGAGCCTCGAATTGTTGCGTGACCACGACTGGCTCCAGTAAAGGACTACTAAATAACTAACCACGATTGGCTGCCGCGTTATAGCATAGAGTCTCGCGTTGCCAATTAGGCTACTGCGTTGGGTTTTTCGGAAACAGGCGACAATGAGCTCAGTTAATTTCTATCTCTCGCGAATGAAAGGAGTGACGGAAACGCCGACTCCGGCAGCGAAAGTAGAATCGCCACTGGACTCTTCAAGACCAACGGCCGCCTTAAAACCCGTGTCAGAAACAATAGTATCTTCGTCGCAGTCGCAGACTCGGGCTGATGATCCCAGAAAAGCGGTAACTGTGGAATCACAGTCAGCAGCAGAAGCAGTGACAGTCAGATTGCAAGGCTCTGCTGGAGACGTCGACGGCGACGTTAACGATGACGGATCCAAACGGCTATCGGTCAGAGAAATGAGAAATCGCTTCAACGCAACGAACGATCGGGTGCCATTAGCGCCAAAGGCGCCGATTCGGCCGAACACATCGATAGCTGTGGATTGGGTAACCAAGGGCGGGAAAAATGCCGTGCACCGGGGCGACTCGAAGTTCGTCCCTAGGCCTGGTGTGAAGGATGAGGGCTCTGTCGCTGCCACGTTAGCAACCAGGCCTCCAGCTGACAGCAACAGTGCTGTTGCGGACCCTGCTGCTGCTGGCGCAAGTGAAAGTAACACTGGCGACAAAGTCAGCGGGGTCAGTGAGAGCAGCAGTAGTGCTGACAGCGACACGTGGGAGGCTCGGATTCGCGCGCTGGAAGAACAGCTAGAAAAAGCGAACGTGGAAACTGCGTTCCTGAAAGCGCGGAACACGGAGCTGCAGGCTCGGCTGTTAGCTAAGGATAACGAGGTGCGCCCTCAAGTGGTGAAAACCAGACTGCCTGTCTCAACCGCAGCAGCAAAGTCAGCGGGAGAAGCGGAGATGAGAGGAGGAACGGGAGGGATTGGCGGTGTTGGCGTGGAAGGGAGAGGCAGCAGCAGTAGCGGGGGTTCTGTTGAGCAAAGCAGCAGTGGCAGCAAGAGCAGCAGCGGTGGGGATGCTGGTAAAAACGACAGCAGTAGCGGCAGAAGCAGTGGCGTCAGCGGTGACGAGGAGAGTGGGAGAGAGGACGCGGTGACAGGCAGAGGAGGGCAATGGAGTACAGTTGAGGATGGTGTTAGCAGCAGCGATCACAACAATAGTGGGATGCCGTTGGAGTTGCAGCTGGCAGCAGCTCACGCGAGGATAGCTGTACTGGAGGTGAGAGGCTGAGGGTTTCCCTGACAGCGGACAGGTAAGCACGTGGGATGCTCTTGCTAATGGTGGGGTTCAGAATTTTGTTTGTTCAGAAGCAGCTCATGCGAGGATAGCTGTACTGGAGGTGAGATGCTGAGAGCATTGCTGGCAGCATCGCTGGCAGTGGATAGACAAGCATGTTTCGTCTTCCAACTTTTTTCTATCACCTAGAAGTGCATGGTAACATCGCCTCTGCTATGGCTTCCCTGCTATTGCGTCCCTTGCTGTCGCATCCCTTGCCGTTGCCGCTCTTTTCTCCAATATGCTGCTAATTTCGTCCCTGCTGCCTTCCCTCATGCATCTCTCTTGGTGATGCATCGATCTACCTCTAACAGCCTCCTCAACCCCCACGCACCACCCTTCCTCTCCCCCACCCCACCCCCACTGCCCCCCACAATCCAGAGGCTACTCAAGGCCCGTGCCAATCAGTCTCCTCTCCCCCGCCTCCCCTCCGCCTCCTCCCCGTGGAAGCCCATCCCCCGCCCGCCCATGCCGTCCCCCGCCTCCCAAGCGCCTGCGCAATCCAAACCCTATGTTCCGAGCCGTGTAAAGCAAGAGCCTAGAGACAGCAGCGGTGGGCTACAGCACACGGGCGTGGTGCAGCACACGGGCGTGGTGCAGCACACGGGCCTGGTGCAGCATGAGGGGCGGAGAGACGAGGGCTTGTCCGTGAATTCGCAGTCAGGTCTGGGAGGCTATGCCGGGATGAACACTGGGATGGGGAACGCGGCTGCTGAGGGGGGTATTGGAATGGGTACGGGAGTGATTAGTGGGGTGGATGCGGAGGTGGGTACAGAGGCGGTGGCGGAGGGAGGGGTGGTGCTGGTGGTGCGGCCGTGGGACAGTGAGGGCGTGGCACGTCTACAGCAGGAGCTGGCAGAGGCAAAGGCGGTGCAGCAGGCAACAGCGGGGAAGCTCAAGGCGGTTGAGCAGCAGCTGGGAAGACTCTCTGCCGTGCGAGAGGAGGTGAGCTTAGTATCTTAGAATGGAATAAGAAGGTGAGCTGGCAGAAGCCTGGGCAGTGCAGGTGGCGACAGCGGGGAAGCACAAGGCGGTTGAGCAGCAGTTGGGTAGACTGTCTGCCGTGCGAGATGAGGTGAGCTTGGGCGTCAAGAAAGGAATGGGTAAGGTAAGCTGGCAGAGGCCCGGGCGTTGCAGCAGGCGTCAGTGGAGAAGATCAAGGCCGTTGGGGGCCAGCAGGTGGGGCGACTGGCTGGCGTGCGAGATGAGGTGCGGCACCAGGCACTGGGTTCAAGTACGTACAGCTATACAGGGCAGGGCAGTCCCAGTTTTTGAGGCGCCTCAAAAGTAGGTGCGGCAGCAGGCACTGGGTTCAAATACGGCTATACGGGTCAGGGTAGTCCCAGTTTTTGAGGCGCCTCAAAAGTAGGTGCGGCAGCAGGCACTGGGTTCAAATACGGCTATACGGGGCAGGGTAGTCCCAGTTTTTGAGGCGCCTCAAAAGTAGCTACGGCAGCAGGCACTGGGTTCAAATACGGCTATACGGGGCAGGGCAGTCCCAGTGCCTGCCATGCAGGCCTATGGTTGCATTTCACGGCTTTCTTCTTGCACTTACTTGTCTGCTGCCTCTCCCCTTGTGTCTACCTATTTCCGGTTGCCTGTCCATGTGTGCAGGGTTACCATGTAACACATGCTGTTCCTGTGCGGCATGTGTACACTCGCAGCTGGGTGTAGCTTGCGCCCTTGTCTCCACATACTGTATTTGCAACTTGGGTTGTGTAAAGAGGACAATGCCTTCCAGATGTTTGATTCACATGTTACAGCTTTACTTGCAGAATGGTTATTCTCTCTTCACTAAAAAGGACCTTGGATGGACATCAATATTCTCACCAGTGCCACATCTAATCAAACCAGTGCAAAAAGCCAGTAAAACAATAGTTTCAGTAACAGTGACTACACTACACCTTGCCCTCGTACTTGTAAGATTCGTCATAGCTTTGCTTCAAGCGGGCAAGAGCGGCCCTTCGGGAATGACCTGCAGAGGGATAATACGATTAAGGGGAGGATGAAGGAGGCACTAAGAGAGGCATGGGCAGGGACAGCACTTCATGGGGCCAGGAAGAAGGGAAAGACAGCAAGGGAGGAGAACACTCTATGGGATGTACAAGTGAGGCAGGAGATAATGGAAGGGTGGAGGGGAGGAGAAGGGGGGAGGAGTGGAGGAAAGGAGGGAGGGTACTGTCTGGATCCGAGCGCCATGCACAGGAACTTCAGGCCGTGACGTGCGGTGCGCACACATCCTTAAGTGCGAGGCACAGGCGTGGTAGCAGGCAAGGGAAGGTTGGTGGGGATGATAGACGAGAGGAGGAGAGGGGAGGACAGAGGGGAGTGATAAAAGAGAGGATAGAAGCAAGGGAGGGTTCTGACCTGATCCGAGCGCCATGTGCAGGAACTGCAGGTCGTGCGGCGTGCGAGCGTGAGGCATCGGTACGGCAGCAAGGGAAGGCTAGAAGATAGAAGCAAGGGAGGGTTCTGACCTGATCCGAGCGCCATGTGCAGGAACTGCAGGTCGTGCGGCGCGCACACATCCATGAGAGCGAATGCTCCTGGCTCCAATGCTGCTTCCACAGTGCTGCGATGTTGAATGCGGTGGAGTGGGGTGGATGGGAGATGGTTGCTTGTGGTGGTGGCACGAGGTGGTTGCTTGGATGGGGTGATGTGATGATGGGGTGATGTGATGATGTGGTGATGTGGTCATGTGATGATCTGGTGATGTGGTGATGTGATGATGTGATGATCTGGTGATGTGGTGATGTGATGATGTGATGATGTGGTGATGTGATGATGTGATGATGTGGTGATGTGGTGATGTGGTGATGTGATGATGTGGTGATGTGGTGACGTGATGATGTGGTGATATGGTGACGTGATGATGTGATGATGTGGTGATGTGGTGATGTGATGATGTGGTGATGTGGTGATATGGTGATGTGATGATATGGTGATGTGATGATGTGATGATATGGTGATGTGATGATGTGATGATGTGGTGATATGGTGATGTGCTCATGTGCGCATGTGCTCGTGTGCTCATACTGCCACATGAGAAGCAACAGCAGGAAAACAAGAAAAACTTGAGGACACACCTGGCCAACCCGATAACCTGCTGCTGCTGCTGCTGCTGCTGTTGGCTGTTCCGCTGACCTGCACCAGCACCAGCACCAGCACCAGAGCTGCTGGGATCGAAGGTAGACTGAAGCTGCTGGAGCAGTGCTGCCGCGGGAGTGGTGGGTGAAGCGGTGGCGATGGTGGCAGTGGTGGTGATGGCGATGATGTAGTCTGCCAAGAGCAGTGGACAGATCTTGCTGAGAGTGGAACGCTTCTCCGATACCTGCCGTGGAGAGGAGGAGAGGAGGATAGAATGGGTGGAACCAGTCAGGCGGATGGGAGTGACATGAAAGTGGTCTGATGATGCAGTCGGCCAATAGCAGCAGACAGATCTTGCTAAGAGTGGAACGCTGCTCCGATACCTGCCGCGGAGGGGAGAGGTCTGGAATGGCACCTCCGGTACCGGATGAGGTCTGGAATGGTACCTCCGGTACCGGATGAGGTCTGGAATGGTACCTCCGGTACCGGATGAGGTCTGGAATGGCACCTCCGGTACCGGATGAGGTCTGGAATGGTACCTCCGGTACCGGATGAGGTCTGGAATGGTACCTCCGGTACCGGATGAGGTCTGGAATGGTACCTCCGGTACCGGATGAGGTTACCATTCGGTATCAGTCAAGCGATGACAGGTTACCTGGTGTAAAATTAGTACAGGATGAGCGTAGGACAAGGGGTAATGAATGGGGCAGAGTTGATTGGGGGCGAAAGAGTTCAAGTTTGATTGAGAGAGGAGGAAATAAGGAAGGAGGAAGCGTCAAGGGAGCAGAGTGGGAGATACGGTATCGTGGTTGCCAGTTACCACGCAGAGCCGCTCAGCACCACATTGAACTGCATAATACTGCACTGACCTCGTCATAAACTCGTCTCAGCCACAGGGCACAGCTGGCAGCCGTGGATTCGTTATCATCACGAGGGCGAGGCGGAGGGGCGAGGTTGGAGGAGAGAGAGGAGGAGGAGGGGAGTGCTTGCGAGGAGGAGGAGGAGGGGGAGGAGGAGGAGGGGGGGGAGGAGGAGGAGGATGTGAAGAAGGGGGAGGAGGGCGAGAGGAGGTTGAGCATACAGCGGAGAGACTGAACGAGGAGCGCCATGCTGTATCGCACATAGCTGTTGATGGCATGGCGTGGCAAGGTATAGTGTGGTGTGGCGTGGCAAGGCATGGCGTGGCACGGCATGGTGGGGCATGGCATGGCGTGGCGTGGCATGGCGTGGGAGCGTGGGGTGGGGGGCAACGGAGGGAAGGAAAGGAAGGAGATGCGATGAGGAGCAGAAGAACATGTTCCGACGCAGAGAGAGCAAATACATGTGTTCAGAGTCGACTCAAAACACGCCAAGACTACATGTAGATACAGCATGTGATCATATGCTCTGACTGTCTGACAGCATACAGCAGGGAGAGTAGTGGACGTACCGGAATGCCAGAATGAGCAGCAGTTGAACGAATCAAGAGCAGAGGAACAGACCGCAGCAGAGGGAGAGAGAGAGAGAGCACGTACCGGCTGCGCTGGCGGATGATGGCACAAAGCAGCTGACAGAAACCAACAAACAGTGCCGCCCGTTCCGCAAGACCCATGCCAGCGGACGAATCAGGAGAAGGCGAGATGGCAGGAAGAATGAGGTTCGGGCAGGCGAGGCCCAGGCTGACGTGGCCTGCCCGGAAAGGGAATATTGCGCTTCGGGCAGCGAGAGTTGTGAGCGCTGACAGGCTGTGATGACAGATAGTGAAGAAACTGGCTGAAGAAATTGAAGGAGTGGGTGAGGGGGTGAGCCAAGGAAAGAGTGAGGGAGCGAGTGAGGGTATGGGGGGGATCTGAAAGGCAGAGGAGTCGGAGAATGGGTAGGGGCCGGAGAGTGAAGAGAAAGGAGAGGGAGTGGGAGTGTGAGGGAGGAAGTGAGGGAGAGAGTGAGGGAGGGAGTGAGAGCGGGAGTGTGTGTAGGAGGTGATGGCTTTAAAGAGAAGGGAGGCGAGGAGGGGCGAACGGGCAGCGAGGAAGTGAAGGGAGTGGCCGCTGGGGCAGCTGTGAATGAGCTTCTCTGCCAGCACTGCCACCGCATCCAACCGTATCGGACTGTCGTCCACTCCCGCTGAGCTACCAAACTCTCCTTCTGTTGCAAGGTCCCCGTCTACATAAGCACTTCCCTTGACATGTGTGCTTTGCCCACTGCCCCCACCCCTTGCCTGCAGCCTTGCCTCTCCTCTCTCGCCTCCTCTTTCCCCTCCTCTCTCCCTTCCTCTCTCCCCTCCTCTCTCCTCGCCTCTCTCGCTGCCACCCTGCCACCCTCCTCCAGCGCCCCCCTCCAGCTGCAAGGCGAGCTCGTGCCTGCAGGTGCGGAAGACCACGGCCACCCACCCGTGCGACGCCCACTGCACAAACTGCTTCAGCGCCCCGTCTGTGGCTTGCAGCAGCGACGCCGCCACTTGCCGTGCTGCCTCTACTTCTGCTGCTGCTCCTGCTGAGACTGCTGAGAGGGACAACAACGACTGTGACTGTAACGAGAGGGCAGAGAGGAGCGCCAGGTGGACGCGCACGATTCGCCGGAAGGCGGAGGCAGGAGGGTGGGGGGAGACGCAGCGGAGCATGCGTGTGCCAGCCACTTGAGTGTACTGCAGCACTGCCAGGAGGAGGGGCGCGGCAGAGAGCAAAACAGAGGGGCCAGACACGGAACCAGCAACTTCTGGTCTCGATCCCGGTGCGTCTGCTCCTGCTGGGACCGCTCCTGTGACAGCAGTGGGAGCTGTGGCAGTTGGGGTAATGGCAACTACAGCGAATTCAGAAGAGGGTGTTGTAGCTGGAGCATGTGCACCCCGTTGCAGCAGCAGGGAGGCGTGGTGGAGAATGAAGAGTGCGGATGCCAGCCTGGGCTGCACTGCGCTCTCAACAAACGCACGTGACAAAGTGTACCTCTTCTGTGCTTCTAGCCGTTCTCCTCCCACAACTCTCCGCTCCTCCTCCTCTTGCTCCTTCTCTTTCTCCTCCTCGTGGTCCTCCTCTCCCTCCACCTGTGCACCCCACTTCCCCGTCCTCTCTTTCCTTCTCCCTCGCCCTCGCCCTCTCCCTCCCTCTTGAGCTGTCTGTGCAGCCTTCTCCGTCCCACCTTCTCTGGCCGGTTCTTTATCCCCCTCACTCATGACTAGCGCGCACCTGAGGTGCAGCGCAGCAGCGGCAGCAGAGAACAGGTGGGCTGCTGTCACGCAATCGGATGTGCTTGTAAGGAGGCAATTGAGGGTGTGTTTCTGCGAGTCTGGAAGGTGGTAACTGCGTAACCAGCTCTCCTCCCACTCTGCACCTTCTCCTCCTCGTCCCACTTCTCCTCCTGCTCCTCCTGCTGCTCCTCTCTCTGTCTTGGAAGGTGACTGGGGACGTGGCTTCTTCCCCCGCTTGCTGGCACTTGCATCTCCATCTGCTTCCATCTCATCCCCAGTCTCCTCGTCACTCTCCTCACTCTCCTCCTCACTCTCCTCCTCACTCTCCTCACTCCCCTCACTCTCTTCCTCACTCTCTTCCTCACTCTCTTCCTCACTCTCTTCCTTACTGTCCTCACTCTCATTCTCCTCACCATCATCGTCCTCAGCCTCACTTTCCTCTTCCTCGCTCGCCTCTTTATCACTCACCTCCTCATTTTCCTCCACCCTATCCCCACCTATCCCCTTCACATCACCAATACCATCCCCATCACCACCAACATCCCCACCACGCACATCATCCAAACCACCATCCCTAGCCACATCAAACCCCAGTTCATGCAGTGGCATCCAATCCAAACCATCGTCCATGTCTTCTCCTCCCACCTCCTTTTCCTCTCCTTCTCCTCCTCCCTCCTCTCTCCCCTTCTCACTCTCCCCCAGCATCCCCCTCAACGCCCCTTCAACAGCAGGCTCCAGGCAGCCAATTAGAGCACGCCACGTGGCAGGGATCTTACCACCCCATCGTGCCAGCAATGACCCTTCACTGCCCACCTCACCAACAGCTGTAGCCGAACCCACTGTAGCACGCGCTACAGCCGGTGCTGCTGACTCATCGCCAGCATGGCTGAATCCGTCTGCTACAGCTGCCATCTCCCACAGGGCTCCCGAGCACACAGCCGCCACTACAGCCGCTGCAGACGCCTCCGCAGCAGCAGCAGCTGGTGCTACAGATGCTGTTGCTGCTGTTGCTACAGCTGTTACAGCTGATGCAGCAGCAGTAGGAGTGGGGTTGCAGCGGGGGACCCAGGCGAGGATCTCAACAGAGGAGATGAGAGCTGTGGCAGTCTCAGGATGGGAGCGAGACAGACGGGCGATGGCAGTACCCACATCTGTAGCTGCACCATCCGCATCATCTGCATCATCCATAGCTTCTTCCCTCCCTTCTGAATTCTTGCCTTCCTCCTCGCCCCTCTCCTTGCTCCCCTCCTCCCCACCATCCATCATGACTGCATGCACTGCCATGCCCACTGCTGCTCCACACGCGGCCACCATCGCCTCCCATGACTCCTCAACCCCCAATGCCTCCCCACCCCCCATGGCCACCCCAACCCATTCCATCGCTTCCCATGCCTCCCCATCCCCCATTCCTCCCCCATCTCGCACTGCCCCTCCACCCTCCCGCAATGCCCCCCCAGCCCATGCCATCTCCTCCCCTTTCCGTCCCTCCTGCTGTTCCCATCGCTTCACAGCACCTGCTCCCACCGAGCCTACCACCAGCCATGGTAGCAGCTTGGGCACCAGACCGGACCCAGGGTCGGGGCAACTTGGTTCGGAAGGCGAGGGATGAGAGAGGGATTGGTGGAGGGAGAGAAAACGAAGAAGGGTGATTCTGCAGGCAAGGGAGCAGTGCATGAGGAGAGAGGAGGGAGAGGAGGAAAAGGAGGGGAAGAATGATCGCTGCTGCTGCTGTTGGTGGTTTGATAGAGTGTGAATGTGACTGTAGCGAGAGGCAGATGTAGGTGAGGGAGAAGGGAGCAGCAGAGGCGCCATGAAGCACCGTTCAACGCCAGCAAGGCATTCGACCAATCGCAGCGCATCTGAAGCCGTCCAGCAGTCAGGGGGGACCGCCTGTAGCAGCTGCAGCAGCACCAGCACCAGATCTACCTCCCCTGGATCTACCTGCCACTCCCCCTCACTATCCCTTTTACCCTTCCCCTTCTGCTCTCTCACTTCTCTCCCACCCTCCTCCCCATCCTCCTCCTCCTCTTCTAATGAGTCAGAATCTGTGCCTGCTGAGTCAGCATCAGGGATTTGAACAAGATGGAGGACTGAATCTGCCAGCTCAGCAGCTGCCTGATCAGCCAACATGGCGAGCATACTCCCTGAAAACTTCTTCTCGTTAGTATCACTCACATTACTATCACCTCTACCACCCACCCCAGTGGAGTCGTCTCCTTCCTTCCCTTTTTTCTTCTTTCCTTTTCTTTTTTTTGAACTGCCCTCTGAAGTCATTTGTCCTTCTCTTCCTGCGTGCTCATTGCCTGGAATTGTTTGGTCAGACAGCAGTGAAACCAAGCCAGCCTTGCACGTTTCTGCTAGGGCAGAAGGTGGGCAGGTGGTGGAGAGTTTCAAGCTGCCCTTCACAGCTGCCCGCAGATTAGTCACAAATGACTTGGCCAAAACGTGACGAACATTCTGCAAGCACATGTGAGTGTGGGGGAAAGAAAATGATTGATGTGAAAGATAAAAGGGATGACATACCTTTGGGGGAGGGGATTGCGCGGGACTCAATAATAGTAAGTTTAGTAAGTTTACTTAACAATTATGAGCAGCAGGTAGCAGGGAGAGAAGTTTGGGTGGGCCGAGGGGAGGGAGGAAGGAGCAGTGATTCGGGTGAGGCTGAGGGGATGTGTGAGAAAGATGGAAGCAGTGCATTCAACAGAAGCACGTATCCCAACCAGACGCCACTCACCTCAATCTCGTAGAACACGGAATTCCGCAGCGCCGCCAGAGCCGCCACAGCCGTCCCTCTCAAACCACCAGAGGGGCAGCGGGGATCCAGAGAGGGAGAGCAGAGGAGGCAGCAAGGGAGACAGAGGGGACCCATCAAACCAGACGCCACTCACCTCAATCTCGAAGAACACAGGATTCCGTAGCGCCGCCACAGCCGCCACAGCCCTCCCTCCTGCACCCCCCGCCACCTCCTTAACACCTCCTGCACCACCAAGCACCTCCCTAGCAGCGAGGGCGAGCAGCAGCAGCACAAACTCCCTCACGGCGGGGCGAGGGGCAGCGGGGATCCAGAGGGGGAGAGCGGAGGAAGCAGCAAGGGAGAGGTACGCCGCGTTGAGATCCCCGCCGCTGCTGATGCTGCCCACTGTTCCGTCCCACTGCCTCCCCCTCCTGCTCGGATACCTATCGCTTCCCTCGTGCTTTTCCTCCTTCCTTCCCGCTCCGGCGTCCCCTTTCCCGCCTGTTTCTCTCCCCATCACCACCCACCGGCTCCGCCCCTCTCCCGCCCCCACACACCTGAACGACAGCTCATGGGCCACAGCAGCAGCCAGCGCACCAACACCACTCCCCAACGCTCCATCTTCCCCCACACCCCGCGCTCCCTCTGCTCCTCCCCGCTTCACCTTCTTCCTCCCCTTCCCCGCCTCTGCTGCTGCCTCCGTCTCTCCCCACAGTCCGCCACTCTTACCACCCGCACTGCTCGCACCCAGAGGCAGCACCGGGGAGAGGGAGGAGAGGGCAGTGGTGGCAGCAGAGAGAGTCAGGAAGCGCAGCCGAAGCAGCTCTCTGCTTTCCTCCCCTTGCTGATCCTCTTCCTCCTGCTGCTGCTCTTGTTCCTCCTCTGCCTTTCCATTCATCACTCGGTTCAGCCAGCCAATCACAAACCGCCATCTGGAAGCAGGCTGCTCCAAAGCAGCAGCTCCAGCAACCTCCCCTGCCGAACCTGTCCCTGCCGAACCTAACTCTGCCAAGCCAGTTTCTGCCAAGCCTGGCATGCTTACAGCAGGATCGAGCGGGAGCGGGAACGAGAAGCTGAAGCGATGGCCCATTTTGGACTCTTCTGAGGGAGGTGCATTGTACAGACACCGCAGGTGCAGCTCATGGGCAGCCAGAAACATTTTAAGGCCTGCCCCGATGCTTGCTGCCGCACGGCGAACAAGGGTAAGAGCAATGTCGGCAGTAGAGTCCTTCCCATTCCCATTCCCATCCATCCAATTGGTTCTTGCCAGCACAGCAGCGACCCACTTGCCCACCACAGACCGCCCAAGGGACTGCACTAGACGACAGACGTTGCCGTCCACCTGGATGGCGGTTCCCAGTGCAACAGGCAGGCTGCGGAGCACTGTAGCAACGAAGCTGGAAGCCGCCCAGGTGAGCCTATCCTGTGCTCCCTGCATCTGAGTTTTCACCTGAGAAACCACCTGGTCAGCCTTCCCCTTCTTTGCCTTCCTCCCCTTCTGTTTCTCCTCCTCGCCCCATCCCACACCCTCCATTTCCTCTTTCTTTCTCCCTCCCTCAGAGTCACCCTCCCAACCAACCACCAGCATAACCTGCTCCTCCCCGAAGCTAAGCAGCAGGCTCGGCACCTGGCCTGGAGGGACCGCAGCAGCAGCCTCCCGGACCACCGAGAGGAGGTCAGGCGACGACAGGAGCGCCGCAGATGCTGCCACTGCTGCAGGCGATTCCGATGCTACCAGGGAGGGCAGGGTAGAAGGTAGCGCGAGAAGAGGTCGCCTGGAGCCAAGGGTGGAAGAGAGAATGGCTCGGATGGCCAGCACTAGCTGTATATGGGAACAGAGGGATGTGCAGCGACAGAACAGCAGAAGAGAACAGGGACAGGGGCAGGGAAGAACAGGGACAGGGGCAGGGAAGAGCAGGGCCAGACAGGGCAGGGCGTGAAGAGGTTGGGTGGAGGATAAAACGGCTGATAGGACCAGCAGCAGCTGCTTAGGGAGAGAGGGATGAGTAGCGACAAACCACACACAGGGTGGGTCGGGATGAACAAGGCAAAGCAAAATGTACGGGGTGTTGCGTGTCTCACACACATGCACGCCTGCTTGCTTGCACGCATGCACACGCACACACACACGCACGCATGCACGCGCACATACACACACACACACACACACACACACACACACACACACACACACACACCTGTCGCATATCTTTCCACGCCACCACCAGCTGACTGGCAATCTTGACTGCCGCCACCCACACTGCCGCCCACCCTGCCGCCCGCTGCTCCTCCGACATCCGCTTGTTACCACCTGCATCAAACCCTTCTGATCGTGCCTTCTCACACGCAGTGCAAGCCCCAATCACAAGCTGCCACGTGGCGTCATGCAGGCCATCCACGAGCACCACCACCCTAGGCTCCAGCCGAACCAGCCCCCAAAGCAGCTGGAGAAGCTCGGCCCAAACCTGAGCTGCTGCTCCGTCCCCTTCGTGCCTCCCATCACCATCACCGCTAGCACCGGCGACAGCAGAAGCAGTAGCACCTATCCCAGGCTTCTGTACAATGTCCCACATGCGCCACGCACTGCCCACCTCCCCTGCCAGCCCAGCCAAGTGCAACAGCAGACCCAGTCTCGTCGCCCCTCCCTCTCCCCCTGCTCCTGCTTCTACTCCTGCCCTCCTTCCTCTGCTTCGTCCGCTGCTGGTGTGGCCGCGGCTGCTGCCAATGCTGCTGTCGCTCACGTCTGACAACCCATCGTAGATACCCTCTTCTATGGCAGCGTCCACCAGTGCCCTTGTGCCACGTAGCACAGCTGCCAGGCTGGCAGGATCCGCAGCACTGCTTGCTGCCGACTGGTTACCACCTCGGCTTGCTTTGCCCTGGTGCTGCTGCTGCTGCTTTCGGTGCTGCTGGGACCACTGGTGCTTGTGGTGGTGGTGGTGGTGCTGCTGCTGGTGCTGCTGCTGCTCTGCCTGCGCGCCCCCCTGTGTGAGCGCCACCACTTGGCCTCGCAGTTCGCCTATCAGCGGCCCCAGCAGATGCGCAAAAAGATTGAACCGCGACTGCAACAGCTGAGACACTTCCGGATCATCTGCACCCAATACTCCTCCCATACCTCCTCCCTGCCCTCCCCCTCCTCCTCCTCCTCCGCCTCCTCCTCCTCTCCCTCCCCCCACTTCCACACCCCTTTCCCCTGCCTTCTCCTCTCCTTCTCCCTCCCCTCCATCCCTATCACCACTCACCCCTCCTTTCCCCCCCTGAACTGCTGCTTTTCTCCTCTTCCCCCTCCCTCCCACCTCGCCTACTCTCTCTCGTGCAATCTCCACCACACTCCGAGAGTAAATGCCAAACATCCACCCGAGGCTGTGCAGGATCGGCACGTTTCCGGACCTGATCCCAGCCTCGAGAAACGCCAGGAACTGCCGGTGGTAGCTGCCGAACCTGCCTTCCTCTCCCAGCCCTTCCATACCTCCATCTCCCTCACCCTCACCCTCTGCTGCCCCTCCAACATTCCCTCCCTTCCTTCCAAGTCTCGACTCCCCAGGTGTTTTCTCAGGTGTTCCTCTGTTGCCTGTTCTCTGCCCACCCGTTCCCCCAACCTTACCACCACCCATACTACCACCCACACCAGCAGCCATAGCAACAGCAACACCACTGCACTGGGACACATACCCCTCTGCATGCCCGCGTCCAAACAACGCCTCCTTCACAATCACGTCCATCGCAGATAAGACAAAACCCACCGTTTCCTCCCCAAACTCTCCACATCCCTTCCCCAGTGGCCCCTGCCCCTGAACGAGGTGCGTCCTGAGCGCCAGCACGAGGGGCAGCAGGCGCGAGAGCACAGCAACAAACACCTTCTTGCCCTGTGGGTGGCTTGATGCGAACACACCAAACCCATGCAGACACACACTGCACACCCGCCCCCACTCGTCCGCTGCTGCTGCTGCCGCTGATGCTGATGCTGATCCTGGTGATGCTGCTTTTACGGATGATTCATTATTGCCTCCGAGCCTCAGCAGGCTCTGAAGAAGCTGCAGGGAGGCTCGGACCAGACCGACCCAGTGCTCCAGGCTCGGATGGAACGCCACTGGGCTTGACGCTTTGAACCCCACGCCTGACGCTCCCAGAGATTTCAGATCCGACGCGCCGAGCCTGCCTGTCAGGCTCGGCATCAAGAGAACAGTGAGCAGGGCGTGAAGGCTCCGTCCTATAGATGGCACCTCCCCTGCTCCTGCTGCTGCTGCTGCTGCTGCTGCTGCCGGTGCTGCCGGCGTTGGTGCTGCTGGTACTGATACATTCATAACTCTGTGAAGGGCATTGTCTGGAGCTAGTGCGGAGAGAAGCGATGTGATTGGCTGGAAGAGGTTGGACGAGACGACCAGCCAACCAGGGTGGTGTTGCAGCTGGGAGAGAGACGCGGACAGAACGAACCAATAGCGTGCATCCATGTAAGCGGGGATCGAATCTCCGTCCCTCCCCTTCCCTGCGTCCCCCTTACCTTCCCCATCGCCTTCTTCTTCCCCTACCCCTATCCCTTCCCCCTCCGCTTGATTCTTCCGCCTCTTCCCCACCTTCTCCCCAGCAATCTTCTCTGCCGAGCCTGGCGTTTCCGAGCCAGGCCTGGCTCGTTTGCAGCCCGAGCCAGCGCCAGCAGGTCCGGGGCGGATGGATCGGAGGAGGGACAGCTGCGCGAACTCGAAAACGGCGCGCAGTGCGTGTAGGCGCGCCTGGGAACCCCATTCCCCCCACATGTCAGTGGAATCCGAGTGGAGGCGGAAGGCTTGCTCCCCTGCCAATCCTTCCGCGGGAGAGTTATCCCCGTCGGTGGTAACCGCATTGCCAGCAATCTTTTTGCTCTTCTTTTTTCGTTTACCGGCTGTTGCTTCCGCATCAACGGGTTCCCCAGTGGTTGTGACACCAGGAGGTGGGTGTTTTCCATTTTTGCCCAGTGCGACCTGCTGCGATTGCTGACCGGAATGTGCCACGTGGCGTTTCCTATCCTTGTCCGCGAAATATTGAAGGAGATTGACCGCGCACGAGAGCACTCTGCGAGGCGTTTTAAGAAGCACAGGGGTTAGGGTGTAACAGAATTAAGATTCGGGGTTTAGTAACAGCATTATGGAAGTGACGGAGCGTCAACGCGGACTACATACTATAACCAACTTACCTTTCTGGCGGTTCTCTTCTGGACACAGCGATTTGGGCAACGGCCAAAGGCGACAGCACCACGTCAGGTGCCGCCATTATACCTTGAAGGGCCTGTTCAGCAACCACACTCTAACCAGGTAAACTTGGTTGGGTTATGGGGCTATCATAGGCACTCGATTCACGCATATTAGGACTAAGGTATTCATCGTGTCCGAAGTAGAATAACACGAGACTTATGCATGTTGACAATGGCGAAAATACTACTATTTTCTTATCAAATGTAAAAGAGTTATTCAATCAAGATATTTTTTTTTCCAATGAACACCACATCACATAAATTTTTTTTTTTGCGGTTTTAATCTCTGATGGATGTCATACCAGATCAATATAATATAGCTGATATTTTTTAGAGTGTTTTTGAAGTGCGAGTTCCAAGCATTCGGATTGGCCTGGCTCTGACACACCCCGCCAATTTCAAGGTGTGATGTTGTAGAAAGCGCGGGAACCCAATCCAGCAACCCAATCTACTCTCAGGGTCACATGACTACATGCCAGCAGGACCTGCTTGGGTTCATCATGCCCGTCCATCTGCCGTTCGTGTTTTCGCCTCACCGTGCTCTGTCTTCTCTTCGTCTTCCATATCTGCACAAAATATTTCCGCGGTAAATCTCTTTCGTGGCTTCATTTCTACTATCACGGACTAGGCAACACGGATCGGTTGTTATTGTCAGGCAATACCCTAGGATCCGTTCCAGCTACGAGGTGGTAAAGTCTGCATCTTTGTATCGTGGTGGCATCAGTCGTGGATGCTGCTCATTCTTCGTCAGATCAAATAACCCGACAGCTATCTTACCACTGACCAAAAACAATATACACACCATTTTTTTTCGAGCGTTTCTTAACGCGTTTATTAGTTTACCCAGCAACCGGTTTGGTTAGACAGACATGTCGATCTCAGAGGAGCTAGCGGCGTCGCTGGGAGTGGCTCCCTCCCTGATCACCCTCCTGCTCTGCCTCTTCTCGTCCATCCCCGCGGCTCTGGTCGTGCGATTCTTCCCGGGTCCCACATTGAAGCATCTCTACAGCATTGCTGCCGGAGGGGCTCTCTGCTGGGTGGCGTATGGCGGCCTTCACGGCAAGTGTGATGTCTGTCATAACTAGCAGCATACGCTCGTCCCGTTTCAGTGGTTCTCGTTGCAAGTGACTGGAATGCATTCAGCTAGTCGGTTTTGCAACGTTCCAGTTGCTGACATTCCCTTCCACAGGCCAGCTAGACCGCCAGCAGTCTGTTATCTGCAATCTTGCATTTTGCTTCACTGATCGAAATCGCCACTCCATCGCGTGCTTTCGCCAATGCAGCGAGCCTCAACTTCTGGGGCCTAACCCTCGCGTCGTACGCGCTCATGCTCGCCCTTCCTCGCAAGTGGAGCGGTTATGGCGTTCTCTTCGGCTCCTTCACCTACCTCACCTACTGGTATACCTCCACCCTTTTTTTCTTAATCTCTTAGTTTTGTATTTTGTTCCCGTCCCAATGTCACATCGTAAGAATCACATCAAGGTTTTGTTGAAGAAAATATTCTTTCTTATCTCGTGCTTTCCAACCTCTCATGGGGCGTTAGTTCATGCCCCGGTCTCTGAAGCTTGACCCTTCTTGAACCCAACACCATCATAAAATCATGGCATTTTTCTGCCTGAACTCAGCAACCACATGAACTGCCTGGGAACACATATTTTAGACTCTCAAGAACAGGCACTTTCTCGCGTGAACCAGAAAGGTACACGAGCATTCTGCGAGCGGACTTGTGGAGGTCGATTCGCTTTGAAACGTCTCAACCAAATGGGCTTTGGAATCTGTGACTGCGCATTTCTTGCATGGCACCTGCAGTCACATAAGCAACCTGGGAGCGGACGTGTGGAGGCAGGGAGGCGTGGACTTCACGGGCACGCTCATGGTGTTCACGCTTAAGATCTCTGGGTGCGCCATGGACTACCAGGACGGCGCGCTGCCGGAGGACAAGGTATTGTCTGCGGTGGTAACAAGGTAACACGATAGTGTGGTACATGATAACATGGTAACAAGGCTGGACGCTCATGGTGTTCACGCTCAAGATCTCTGACTGTGCCATGGACTACCAGGAAGGCGCACTGCCAGAGGACAAGGTATGCTCTGCGGTGGTAACAAGGTAACAGGTTGGCGCGCCCATGGTGTTCACGCTCAAGATCGCCGGCTGTGACATGGACTAGTACAATGACGGCGCACTGTCGGACGACAAGGTATGCTCCGCGATGGTTGTTACAAGGTAACCCAGTAAGACGGCTGGAAATGCTCGTGGTGTTTGTGCTGGAGGATTGAGGCTGAACCGTGATTACCAGGATGGCGCGCTGCCAAAGGATAAGGTAGTTCGCAATCATTGTAACAAGGTAACAGGCTGGCGCGCCACTTTCGGGACATGCAACAGTCCACCCACATTCTTCCCCCTTCCCCTTCTCCCTCCCCCAGGCGCAGCACCGCATGTACAGCAACAGGCTGGCGCGGCTGCCGTCGGTGGTGGAGTTTTTGTCGTTCGTGTTCTTCCCAGGCGCCGCCCTCGTGGGACCCGTGTTCAACCTGAAGCAGTACCAGGCGTATGCTGCCGGGCAAGGGGTGAGTTTGAGCTGCCTTGGAAGGGGCCTTCATGCACTACCAGGTGTATGTTCCCGGACAAGGGGTGAGTGCAGGAGAAGGGAGAGATGAAGTGAGGGCGTTGTGTGTTCTTCCCAAACGCCATACTGGTGGGACCCGTGTTCAACTTGAAGCAGCAGTACAAGGCGTACGCCGCTAGGCAAGGGGTGAAAGGGGGAGAAGAAGTGAGAATGTTCTGTGTTCTTCCCCGTCGCCGTGCTGGTGGGACCCGTGTGCAACTGCAAGCAGTACCAGTCGTACGCCCCTGGGCAAGGGGTGAGTGCCGGGGGGGGGAGAGAGAGGAAATGAAGGGAGAAGGAAGACGTGAGACGACTCAATGGCGCCATGCTGGTGGGGCCCGTGTTTAACTGCAAGCAGTACTAGGCATATGCTGCCGAGTGATGGGAGGGAGGAGACGAGGTGGGGGTGTTGTGTGATCTACCCTGGCGCTGTGCTGGTGGGGTCCGTGTATAACCTGAAGCAGTACCAGACGTACGCCACTGCGTAAGGGGTGAGTGCAGGGAGGGTGGAGGGAGGAAGTGAGTGTGCTGGAGTGGTGTTTGAGTCGAACGGCCATATGCACGCTGCCCTATCCCCTCTGTTCACTCGCGCCCTTCTGCCCTGTGCCACTGTACCTGCAACCCTGTGTGCGACCGTGCCTCCCCCAGCTATGGTCGCCGTCTGGAGCCGTGGTGCCAAGCAAGGCAGCTGATACCAGCAAGGGGGAGGAGGGGAAGCTGACGCAGAACGGGAACGGGGAGGCGGACAGGGCGCAGGGCGAGAGCAATGGCGAGAGGAAGCTGCGAAAGATGCCGGAGCCGCTGCCGTATGCAGCACAGGCGCTGGGGAAGGCGATCATCTGCCTGGCGATGCACCACTTCCTCTCCCAGCACTTCGGCCCTGCCCTGCTCTTCCAGCCCCGCTTCCTCACCTACGGTTTTGCATACAAGTGAGTCTGTGCAGGGCTAAGCAGCGTTTGCAGCACTAGCGGCCTGGCAGCATCAGCAGCGTCAGCCTTCGGATGATATTTGCTTGCCACACACAGACTCTGCCACTGCCATACGCAGCGCAGGCGGGGTGAAGAAGTGGAGTTCCCGATTCCCGTCTGTTCCTGACTCCCGTCTGTTCCCGATTCCCGTCTGTTCCTGACTCCCTGCCGCCCCTCCTCTTCCTTCTCCCACATCCCTTCGTACAAAATCCCCACCTCCTTTCCCTCACATCACAGGTGGGGCCACCCGGTAAGGGCGAGTATCTTCTTCCGATGCTCAGGTCAGGTGGCTTATGAGTTGACTAGAAAATCCTCGTCCATCTTCCCTCACATCACAGGTGGGGCTGCCTGGTGATGACGGGTATCTGCTTCCCCTGCTCCTGCTACTTCATCTCTGCGCTTCTCCCACGCACCCTTACCCACCCTTCTCTCCTACGTCTCCTGGTCCCAACCCCCTCTGCCCCACAGGTGGTTCTGCCTGGTGGTGGCGGGCATCTGCTTCCGCTGCTCCTACTACTTCATCTGGAGTGTGGCGGAGGCTGCTGTGATCCTCTCTGGATTCGGCTTCTCTGGCTGGACCGACTCCTCGCGTCCAGACTGGTGAGTTCCGAGATCTCACAATGAAGTCCACTTGGAAAGTGGTAGAGGCTGCTGTTGTTCTTTCTGGATTCGGCTTCTCCGGCTGGACCGACTCCTTCTCCAGTCGACTCGGGAAGTGTTTGAGATGTGATTGAGAGTGCTGCTTGAGAATATTTAAAATCCGATGTGATTGAGAGTGCCGCTTGATTATATTCAAACTCCGATGTGATTGAGGGTGCTGCTTCAGAATATTTGAAACCTACCCGGACCAACTCCTTCGTCTCGCTTCCATGATTACGTTTGCCATTCTCTCTGGTGTATTAGCTAAGTGATTCGTCACCTAGGCGTTTTCTGATGCTTGCTCTCTGATGGAAAAATATGGACGCATCTCGTATGGCTGTTCGTCCTCATTGTCGGTTATTATCATCCCACACCTGTCCCCTCCCCATCCATGTGAACGCCTCCACATCTCCCAAACATCCTGCCGCCCCCACCTTCCACTCCGTCCTCCACTCCCCCTCCCACCAGGAGCCAGGCAGAGAACGCCAATTTCATCAAGTGTGAGATCGCCACGAGTCTCCCACTTGGGGCATGCAACTGTGTCTCTCGATCCACCTGACAGCTCCCACATCTCTTGACCGTCCTCCCCAACCCCTTCCCTCCATCCTCCACTCCCCCTCCCACCAGGAGCCGGGCAGAGAACGCCAATTTCATCCAGTGTGAGATCACCACGAGTTTGATAGTGAAGCGTGTTGCTGTGAATCATTCCCTCCCCACAACCATCCTCCCCCACCCTTTCCACTCCGTCCACCCCTCCCCCACCCACCAGGAGCCGGGCAGAGAACGCCAATTTCATCAAGTGTGAGATCACCACGAGTCTGGCGCAGATGCCTGCCTACTGGAACATGGGCGTCGGCACGTGGCTCCGCACCTGTGCGTGGGTTCTCTGGGTTGAGAAATGGGGAGTCTTCCATGGGCTTAAAGTTGCGCGTTTGGGCTGCATGCCTACTGCAACATGGGCGTCGGCACGTGGCTGCGAGGTGACTTTTGAGTCGACTCAAAAGTCACCTGTGTGTGGGTTCTCTGGGTTGAGATATGGGGAGTCTTCCATGGGCTTAAAGTTGCGCGTTTGGGCTGCATGCCTACTGCAACATGGGCGTCGGCACGTGGCTGCGAGGTGATTTTTGAGTCGACTCAAAAGTCACCTGTGCGTGGGTTCCCTGGGTTGAGATATGGGGAGTCTTCCTTGGGCTTAGAGTTGCGCGTTTGGGCTGCATGCCTACTGGAACATGGGCGTCAGCACGTGGCTGCGAACATTCAGAGATCACGTGCTCTTAGGTTTAGGATTTCGGATGTAGGATGTCCGTGGGACTTTGGGGTTGAGTGCATGGGAATGGGAGCGCGCAGTGATGGGTAGGTGAGAACACGAGGGTGAAAGCAGGAAAGGAGGTCCTTTCCCTTCCCTCCCCCTTCTCTCCACCTCCCCTCCCCACCCACCTCCCCCGGTCTTCCCCCCCACTCTCTCCACCTCCCCCTTCAGACGTGTACGACCGGGTGAAACCTCGCTCGGGCAAGCCCACCATGTGGACGCTCGTTTTCACTCAAGTCGTCTCCGCGCTCTGGCATGTGAGTCGTCTCCGCGCTCTGGCATGTGAGTCATCTCCGCGCTCTGGCATGTGAGTCATCTCCATGCTCTGGCATGTGAGTCGTCTCCGCGCACTGGCATGTGAGTCGTCTCACGATGTTTGTTGAGTTGACTCTGAAGCTCTTCTCCCCACTTACAGAACCTTCATTGTCAACCTGCCTGTTGCTTGAATCCTCGCCTGTTTGAGCCGGCTCTAGAACAGCTCGTCCCACAATCAGCACCTTGATTACCATCTCTTTCTCTCCTCCACAGTCTGTCAGCACTGCCATAAGCTCTCCAGACCCACCGCATTCCACTCCCTCGTGTTCCACTCCCTCCTCTTCTGCACAATCTGCACCCCATTTCTCTTTGTCACTGTCAGCACTACCATCGGCTGGTTTAGTCCTACCGCACTCCACCCCCTTGTACCCATACACCTTTCGCCCCCCTCCGTCTCCTTGCAGTGTCTTCACCCAGGCTACTACCTCTTCTTTGTCAATGCCGCCATCGGCTCGTCAGTCCCGCATCCCCCATCCAAACCTCATCCCCCATCCAACCCTCATCCATCCCTTCTTCGGCCACTCTTCCTCCCCTCCCAGGGTCTTCACCCCGGCTACTACCTCTTCTTTGTCAACGCCGCCATCGGCCAACACACCTCCAAGCGTACGTCTCCTAACTGCTTGTGTCTCGGCCACTGGAAGATTCTCGTGCCTTGCCTTGTACTCTCTGCGCTGCTTAGAGGGCTCTAGGGTTTCCCCCTTGGTCTCCTCTGGGTAGCATCCAGCATCATGACCTTGTTGGGAATCCTCACTCGCTCTTTTCTCGCTCCATCTTTTTTAACCAAATGCACGTCCCTTGCACGCCCCCTCGTGTGTCTCCTTGTGGCATGGAATGGCATGTCGTGGCATGGCATGGCATGGCATGGCATGGCATGGAATGGCATGGCATGGCATGGCATGGCATGGCGCGGCACATAACACCACAGAGGTGTTCCGGCACACGGCAGCAGCGTTCCCGAAGCAGTCAGCAGCCGTGAAGGTCACCATTGACGTGGTGCAGGCCGTGTTCAAGCAGCTCATCATAAACTACTCCAACGCTGGCTTCCTGGTGAGCGAAGGACGAAGGGCAAGTGAAAGGGAAAGCGAAAGGGAAAGGGAAAGTACGTCATGCCTGCCTTCCCCAGGCCGTGTTCAAGCAGCTCATCGTGAACCACTCCTTTGCTGGCGTCCTTGTATGTCTGCCATCTGGCCTCCTGGTAGGACTTTCACCTTCATGAAATTGCTTCACCTTCTCGCTTCCTGTAAAACCTTGCTTCCACTGCCTTCCTGTTCTCGTCCCTCCTCTCCCATCCCTCCTCACCCCATCCGCTCCTTTCCTATCCATGTGTATTCCCCGTCGTTGCATCGACTTCCCCCCCAGGCGCTGCAAGTGTTGCATTCTCCCCTTCCTCACCTCATTCATCCGCTCCCAATTCCGTGTCCCCTTCTTTGCCTCCACACCCCCCAGGTCCTACAATGGGGGCAGACCATAGCGGTGTGGCGGTCGCTCTTCTTTATGGGCACCATCGTCCCCATTCTTCTCAACGTGCTGCTCTCTGTCATTCCCACTCGCTCCCGACGTCACAAGAAGGCCGAATAATCTTCAATCGAATTCGGCCACTGCTCTCATTCGCGCCCATGCGCTTTTGGTATGCGCTTTTGTATGGTGCTGAGCATTAATTGAACACTATGCCGCCCGATCTCCCATAACGGCACATAACCGGAGGGATGTAAGGGCGTACACCAGTTGTAGTTACCTTGTACGCCCTCTCGTAAAATGAGGTCGGAGTATATCATGTGTCAGTGTAGGTAAGGGCGTATTCTCTCAAAGTATGAACAGCGGAATGATGTGCACGGTAGTAGCAATGGGATACAAATACCAACCCTAAAGGGGTTGTACTCCTGAGGGTGCTACTCACTATAGCCTTAAAGATAACATAACATTTGAGGCACCCCCATATGCTACCGTAAGTGGGGGGAACAAGCAAGGTAAACAAATGGTTACAAGATTAGTCAAGAGAAATAACAACACAAATTTCAAGGTGGATCACGAATTCACCACACTGTCTGAGAGCAAGCAAGGGCAAAAAAGGCCAGCTCAAGAGTTCACATATATATATAAGTAGCAAGACAGACAGAGCTAGAAACAAGAGGCAAGACAACAAAACCTAGATCGCGTCTCAACAAGGTATAGCTACAAACAGAACCTGTGGTGGTCACCAGGCGGAAGGGCCTTGGTGAAGATGTCTGCTACCTATGTTGGCCGTTGAAGCCACAAAGTCCAAGCGTGCATGGCCGCATCAGCGCAACTCTCGCAGTATAAACTACTTCTTGTCGATGTGCTTCACTCTGCCCTCTAGTTAAGGCTCTCGACGCAAGAGGATCATGGCATTGTTGGCAGCGAACAAGGTGCAGAGCGAGGCCGCCCAAGGTCGGTGAGCAAGAAGGTCAACCAGCGAAGTTCCTGCGCAGCCATGGCACCGGCGTAGATCTCGACCTCAGCCTACCCTTGGGAGGTGAGGAGTGGAAAGCAGCCTACCTTCGACGCAATGAGTGCACGGCGATGCAAGCGAATGAGGGAGAGACGCAAACACGGTTGGGAGACCTAAGATAAGGCGTTGGCTAGACTTGTGAAGGAGACGTGAGAGGGACGGTTGTCCAAGACGGTGGTGCCACACGACTGTCGGGTGGACGAGTGATCGATAGGAGCACGACGCAGC